AAAAAGCACTTTTAAAGCAAGCCGATTCACATAAAGGTAAGGGTTAGGTTTAGGGTTAGGGGTAGGTTAAGGGTTAGGGTTAGGCTTAGGGTTAGGTTTAGGGTTAGGTTAAGGGTTAGCATTAGGTTTAGCGTTAGGTTAAGGGTTAGGTTTAGGGTTAAGGGTTAGGCTTAGGGTTAGGTTTAGGGTTAGGTTTGGGGGGGTTAGGTTTAGATTTACGCGTTAATTTTAAGTTTACCGCTCACAGCATGCTGTTTTCGTCGCGCTGTGATGACGTCACGTACGCGCTTTCGTCGAGCGCGCTTTAGTCTACTGCAGTTTTGTGGTGGAACCTAATAATTTACTAAGACTGTATTACTATTCTTCCTTTCTAGTATCTATCTCTCCCCACTTATGACCGTAACCATGTTGCTTTCAATTTATAGTTTTTTATTTGTTTCCTAGTACAATTTGATAGCTTATTAGTAACCTTGTCTATCCATAAGTGTTGTATCTTTTTATTCTTGATGAATGTATTTTTTATCCTTATGTACGCTGACAGCATATGCACCAAAGACAAATTCCTTGTGTGTCCAATCACACTTGGCCAGTGAAGAATTCTCTTCTATATTATCCTTGCAAAGCCTGAAAAATCCGTTTACTCAATAAACTACATGGTTTTACTACTACTACTACTATATCACAGTGTCAAAACACGCTTCGTTTGAACTTTGGCTGAGCACAATACCTAAATCCCTGCCATTGTGATTTGTAAATGACGGCAGATCACTTAGTTAAAAGCGCTCAGCGAACCATGATTCAGTCGGTTCTTAAAGCATGCTGATGTGTTCAGTGAACCACAGTTTACTCAACACCATTTTCAGGACCGGCATAAGTAAACTTTGGATGTGTTTTAAGTAAACTGAAATTTCACTGAACATTGAATTAGCAAGGCCAGCAAACAGCCACTATCGTTCAGCCTAACCTACCTCGCAGGGCTGCTGTAAGGATAAAATGTAAGAAAAAGACTTGTTCAAGGAAAGGCATGTGAGAAATTTAAAAAAAACCAAAATAAGTGTAACCACTTCACAGATTTGCAAAACATTTTATTCTTCTCCGTCCTCGGTGACAAGGCTCATTCAGCCTCTCCCTTTTTTGATGCAATTTCCATCAAATACATCCACCACCACTCAACTCCCACTTCCTTGCCGTAGCCTTAGATCTCCAAGGTCCCCTCCAACTCTGTCCTTCTATGAATCTACAATGGTCTCTTCCTTGAGCAGGGGGTTGGACTAGATGACCTCCGAGGTCCCTTCCAGCTCTGTGATTCTATGATTTTGTAAGGGTCTCCTGCATGAACAGGGGGTTGGACTATATGGCTTCCGTGGTCCCTTCCAACTGTCCTTCTATGATTCTGTAAAGGTCTCCCGCATGAACGGGGTTGGACTAGATGACCTCGACCTCCGTGGTCCCTTCCAACTCTGTCCTTCTTTGATTCTGTAAAGGTCTCCTGCTTGAGCAGGAGGTTGGACTAGATGGCCTCCGTGGTCCCTTCCAACTCTGTCCTACGATTCTGATCTCTCCTTTGCAACAGAAATCAGAAAATTCCCATCGTGTCTCTTTCTCGGGGGGGGGGAGAAAGAAAGAGCGCGTGCGCAAGGCAAGGACCCGCGCGATGCCTGCTGGGGATTGTAGTTTTTGCACAGAACTCGGAGGAATCCACGCCAGCTCCAGGGAGGGAGGGAGGGAGCGGAAAGAAAAAGAAAGGCAGCGAGTTGTGCTTCCCGTGCGGATCGGCTTCCCAGTCTCCAACTGGGCGGCGCGGCGCCTTTCGGGAGTTGTAGTCCTCGGACCGGCGGGCGCCCACGCGTCGCAAGGGCTGACGCGCGGACTCAGGACTACCGAGCGTCCAAGCGGCCCTCCCCGCGCCTGCGCACGGGAGACGAGGCGTACGGCAACCGAGGGTGGCCATACTGCGTCGGGGCGGTGGGGCACACGCGGAGCGTGGCCGGAGCGAAGGACCGGGGTCGCCGCCGCCTCAGCTGGTCGCTCGTCGCTCGCCGCCGCCGCCTCTCCGCGCCTTTCCTCCCTCCCTTCCCCGCCGGGGAGGCGCTTGGGCCGCAGCAGAGAGGCTCGCGAGGGGCCGGGCGCACAAAATGGAGGCGAACGGCAGCGGGAGCAGCAGCGACTCGGCGCCTGATTGCTGGGACCAAGCGGACCTCGAGCCCGGGAACGCCGCCTCAGCCGCCGCCGGGGACGAGGAAGCCGCGGCGGCGCCCGGTTCGGCCCCGCTGGAGTCGGAGGAGTCGGAGGAGGAGCAGCTGCTGGGCGCGGCCTTCAGCCGGCACCTCAACGTCAACGCCAAGCCCTTCGTGCCCAACGTCCACGCCGCCGAGTTCGTGCCGGCTTTCCTGAGGGGAGGCCCGGGACAGCCCGCCACGCCGACGGCCCCGTCGCCCCCGCCGGGCTTGCCCACGCCGACAGCCCCGTCGCTGACACACGGTGAGCCCCGCGGAACGGCCCGACACTGGACGGGGGGGGCGGGGGGGCCTCAGTCCTTCCAGGGCACTTTGCTAAAGCCCCGTCCTCCTCCCCTCAATTAAGGCTGCCTAAGTCCCCCCCCCGCCCCCCCCGTCCAGTGTCGGGCCGTTCCGCGGGGCTCACCGTGTGTCAGCGACGGGGCTGTCGGCGTGGGCAAGCCCGGCGGGGGCGACGGGGCCGTCGGCGTGGCGGGCTGTCCCGGGCCTCCTCTCAGGAAAGCCGGCACGAACTCGGCGGCGTGGATGTTGGGCACGAAGGGCTTGGCGTTGACGTTGAGGTGCCGGCTGAAGGCCGCGCCCAGCAGCTGCTCCTCCTCCGACTCCTCCGACTCCAGCGGGGCCGAACCGGGCGCCCCGTGGCTTCCTCGTCCCCGGCGGCGGCTAAGGCGGTGCTCCCGGGCTCGAGGTCCACCTGGTCCCAGCAATCGGGCGCCGAGTCGCTGCTGCTCCTGCT